ATTTGTTATTTTCTGTCTTGTTGAACTTTGCTACTAGTGCTGGAGCAAGATGGTATCTCATTGTTGTTTTGATTTGCATCTCTCTAATAGCTAATGATCGAGTTTCATCATTTTGAGAATGTTATATATATGGGATTGTGCAGTGTGTAAGAATAACAACAACAAAAGAAACTGAGAACTAGTAGATTTTTGAAAGATAATACTTACTACTGAGTCCAAAAGAATATTTTCTGGTTTCAAGTCTCTAAAAGTTCAAGGAAAGAAGAGCAAAACTGAATATTAACTGACATAAAATATTAAAAATAAATTTTTACATACTTTTACAAACTTCACCTGTATACTATTTTGATGGAGTGCAAGTAACCCAATGCACTGGCGATTTCAGCAGCATAAAACCTAGCCCTGTGTTCAGGAAAAGACCGTTCTCTTTGTAAGTGAAAAAACAGCTGTAAAATTGAAGAAAATGAATGTTAAGACTCATAAAATGAAATATATTCTGTAAGTACAAAAACAAGAACTTTTATTACTTTGAACGTTAGATAACAACACCCCAAAGCACAGACTTGTGGCTCTCCCTTGTCTCTATGGCCCCACCTAGCAATCCTCTCTCTTCAACCAAGCAACCGCTCACTCTTGCTAGCTTCACTATCTCCCAATATCCCACTATCTCCCACTATCTTCCTTCATAAGCCTCAGTTTTGATAGTAACCTCACCGCTCTAGGCAACAGTTCCAGCTAGATTATCACTAATGCAATCAGCTCACTAAGCCTTTTCAGACTATTCTTTCATTGAAGAAACTATTCAGAGACTGAATACTTGTGGCTGGCAGACCAAATAGAATCCACAGACATAACTTATTTGTGCCAAATGCTGTTTTTTTTTTTTAAATTCTGCATTAGTTAAAACCGAAAAAACCAAACTCATTGCTGTCGAGTTGATTCAACTCACAGAGACCCCTCCCTGGGTTTCTGAGGCAGTATCTCTATGGAAGTAGATTGTCCAATCTTCCTTCTTAGGAGTGGCTGGTGGGCTTGAACCGCCAGTCTTCTAGTTAGCAGTCAAATGCCTTAGGCACTACGCCAACAAAGCAAGGAACATTTTAAACTATGGATTTTAAAAATATGTATTATTCATATTTTAATTTTCTCCTGGAAAAAAAAGGGGGGTGGTAGTGGAGGCAGGAACCTTTCTTTAGCATTAGTCTTAAATTCCAATGTGGTAGCAATTGGCTGGAGCTGATTTCTTTTTTAAAGAAATCCTGGCTGTGTTTAAGGCAGAACTTCCCTGAGTTTTTAATATGTTGATTCACTATGAATCACCAAGAAGAGGGTTACATGGAGCATTTTCCAAACTCATTTCACCCCAGAACCTCTTATTAAGTCATCTGACTGGTATTAACAGTTCATACACTTTAGAAAAGGGAGGCTGGAGTAATATTGATGTGCAACTGCTGAAACAAAATTATCTAAATAATAAATCATGTTTTATTCTAATGTTTCAGTATATTATTCTTGCTATACAGCTTAGTGACAAAACTATGCATAAAGTGTAGCATCATACCAAGGTTCTTTCATAAACCTTCCCAACTATACTGTTGTTGTTGTTGTTATGTGCCGTCAAGTCAGCCCCGACTCATAGCGACCCCTCCTTGGGTTTCCAAGGCAGTATCACTACGGAAGTAGGATTGCCCAACCTTCCTTCCGAGGAGTGGCTGGTGGGTTTGAACCGCCAGCCCTCTGGTTAGCAGGCAAGTGACTTAGCCACTATGCTACCAGAGCCCAACTATACTATAACCTGCTTAAGAAAAGAGCTTGGTTTCTATTTCTCTCCATCTTGCATGTGCTTAGCTAGTACCTTGAATACTCAAAAACTATCTGTTGATGATGGACTGTCCATCTGGAGCTTTTAAGAACTTCAGTGTTATATTTCCTTTATCAGTATTAGAAAACTAATTTAAAAACTCACCTCCCCTCCATTAATAAAATCCAGAACAAAGTAAAGCTTCTCAGTTGTTTGGAAAGAATAATGTAATCCAACTAAAAATGGATGTTTCACATTTTTCAAGAGCACATTACGTTCAGCCATAATATGTTTTTGCTGGAAAAAAAGATAAAGGATCAACTCATATTGTACATCAGAAAACAATTCTGTTAATTGAGAAAATGAGCTCAGGAAAAAAATAGCTGTCTTAATTTACCTCTTTTCTGTTAAGAACAACTTTTTTCTGTAACACTTTGACAGCATAAAATTTTCCATCCAGTTTCCGTTTTGCAAGAAGAACCTGTTATAGATGGTACATATGATTAGACATATAATATTTTGAATAGAAATGATTCACTTGTGAATAAATTAATACTTTCACAATTTTGTAAAAAGAAAGTTCACATTTTTGCTTTGAAAAATAAAAAGCAACTGCTTAATTTATTTTTACAATTCTACTTTTCCTTTGATATTGTAATAAAACAAAGAAGAATGTTTATCATTTGAATAGCTCACTACCATTTCTTTGTCACTTAATGTGCTTTGAGATTTTCACTAAGTTGAAGTGACAGTATCTGTAACGCTTAAGAACTCTTTGTGTGTGGGTGGGTGTGGGTGTGTTTGGGAGGGATGTATGTGTTTGTGTGAGAGAGAGAGGAAGAGAAAGAGAAAAGGAGAGAGTGTGTGCTCTGAGTGAATCCTGAAGAATATCCTTAGAAAATACTGAGGCTATATAAAAAAAGCAGTAACAGTGATTTTAGGTGATCAAAATGCATCTCTATAATATTTAGATTCTTCTTTCAGGTTTTTAATTCACAAGAGTTCAGAGAAAGAAGCACCATGTGCAGCTGAGTTTCGGTAATGGGCTGGGCTGCATGTAGAGACTCTAAAGAACAAATAAAAGCTAGAAGACCTTGAAAATGTGAGAAACAACCTCACTAAAGTGGAGAAAAGCTGCTAACCTATATGACTGTGGAAATGAGTGATGCCTGTAAGACTAAAGGCAAAAGAACTGTACGTAGTATGTACTCTAATTGATACAGTTGTTTCTCACATGGGTATGGGTTTCCAACTGTGATACTGCTATACATGTACACTAGAAATGAACAACTGAGTAAATGCATGGCAAATAGTGGGAGCCAGGTTTCTCACTGTTGAAGTAGACATTTACAGATGAGAACAGGAGGAGACTAGGATAACTCAGGTAGTAAGAATACATGTTTATCTTAATACAGATAGAGATTATTACACAAAGAAATATTTATAGATACATGTACATACTTGGGTTAGAATACTTGGGAGCTCTGGTCCCATAATGCCTACAGCATTTGACTGCTAACCAGAAGGCTGGCAGTTCAAACCCACCAGCCACTCTTCAGAAGGAAGACTGGGTGATCTGTACTTCCACAGAGATACCATCTCAGAAACCCAAGGAGGGGTTGCTATGAGTCGGATTTGACTTGACAGCGGTGAGGTTTTTTTTTTTTTTTGGTGCTGTCAAGACAGCTGACAGTCTGCATCTCCATTTGTCTCCCTACTCACTGTTTTCATGCTGGTTCTTGTCAGCTCTTCTATATACCTGGGAATTCTTTTTTTTTTTTTTTTTTTTGGGGGGGGGCGAGTTAGAATACACATATACATATATTTCTTTATTCTGTCAGCTGAGAGGGCCTAAAATAAATGACATCCCAGAAGCAACATGCATACCTAACACCCAGATGTTGGTTTCTAACACTATTTTGCAATAAAAGGAACAAAACCAGGGCTTCTTAGAGAAATGGCCGATTCAAGGATTGAAGCAGGAAATGAGTCAGAGCATCTTGTAGTGCCAGAAAGTAAGGAAGTGGTTCAAAAACAAAAAACCCATACTGGTGAGAGTATGTCAAAGTGATACAGTAGCCAAGCGAAAAAGTGGCCAATGTCCAAAGATGGGACAACCTGAGCAAAAACTAAACTAGCATTGAATTATAACCCAAAGTAAAAAATAAATATGAGTTCACACTGATGTAAATAAATGACTGAATAAATAAGCTGAGAAGAGGCAAGTCTTCCATGTAGAAGAATTCCAAAGAAATTATGTAAATGCTCAGCCCTCAATGAGGGGTCCTTACCTAACCACTTTTTAACATGTGGGCTGTCATAATGTCTTCCTTCCAAAGAGTACAGTATGGAAAGGAGAGAGGAAAAAAAAAAAAAAAAAAGGGAACTGCAGCAGAGAAATTTAAACATTATTCAGTTAGGTAATCAAGGTTAACATCAATAGTCATGTATCATGTAGGCAGAAAGTACCCTTGATAGAATGTGATGAAAATGGCACCTTACACACTTCGTTTTTACTTCCTCACCCAAACCCATAAACACAAATTAATCATGAGAGAAATAGTAGACAAATTCCATAGAGGAGCATCCTACACTATGTCTGGCTACTACTCAAAACTGTCAGTCATCAAAAAGAAGGAAACAAAGTCATCTAAAAAAGAGTCAATAAAATGACAATCAGCATTTAAAAATAAAAACAAAGCCTGAGAAACTGTCACAGACTAAGAGACAACTAAATGTAACATGGTATTCTGGATGAGATCCTTGAATAGAAAAAAGAATTGGGTAAACACTGAAGAAATCTACATAAACTGTGGACTTTAGTTAACAACATATCAGTATTAGTACAATAATTGGGATAAATATGCCATTCTAACGTAAGATACTAATGGTAGGGGAAAACTATGTGAAAATGGGAAGAGTTGAGAATTCTCTATACTATTGAATTTTTCTGTACATCTCAAACCACTCTAAACTAAATCTGAACTGTTCTAAAAAAAAGTCTATTAATAAAAAATTTTGTTACTCAAAGAGTTAAAATATCTTCAGGGTGAAAATGGCTTGTGGAATATGAATTGAATAGTAGAAACTGAATTGAAAATGGCTGATGGAATTTTTCTCATTTCCACTTTTCTTTTCTACAGAGTTTAACTGTTGAATATTCCTTCCTCTTTTAAATGCCTCTTTTTGGGCACCTCCTATCTACATGCCTTTTCCTTTTCTGATGTATTAACTCATTCATCTTCTATACAATTCTGAGAAAAATTCAAAGAATGTGGCAATTAACCAAAAGACAGGCACAAGAGTTGAACATTTACCTGAGGTAAATACACTCCTTGGAGACAACAATCATGGGAGAAAGAAGGGCTGTTTATGCACAGGGAGGCAGCTCAGGGGGCAGGGGTGAATGGAGGGATGGACACAGGGAAGAGGTGGATGTCAGGAGGAAGTGGAGGAGAGCTGTTACATTGGGGTAAATTGTGGTCAATGTCATGAGACAAAGTGTATGTGAACTGCTGTATGGAAAGTGAATTTGCTCTGTAAATTTTCGCCCAAATCACACACACACACACAAGAATGTGGCAATTAAGAGGTACTCATTCCTATCAGTTAAGTTTTTTTTTTTTTTTTTAAGCAGTTTTGTATATTTGGAGAACAGATAGAAGATTAAGAATCTAATAGGTAAATGGACAGTGGAAGCAGGACTACAAGCTACCCGCTGGAGAAGGGTTTAGAATAAAAGTATATACAAGTAGTCTCTGGGTTATGAACCAGATCTGTTCCTAACTGTGTCTTTAAGAATTTGTAGTCAAGTTGGACCAGGTGTATACGATTCATATTTAGCTTTACTTCAATACAACAAAAGGATGAAGCCTTTTCAATGATTTAAAAGCTGGACATAAAGCAAATGAAGGTGATTGCCATGAAGAATTTCTTGCATGTAAGGGATGGTTCAATCGTTTCAAAGTGAGGGCAAATTTACGTAACATCAAAGGGTAACAGTAAGAGTTGCTGTAGACAGTACTTTCATAATTCCCTGGACTTCTGTAGTCATTACTTACATTTAATTTATCACATATATTTGTGTTTCAGAAACTTAAATTTGCATTTCAATGTTTTCTCCTTTTTTTAGTATTGTTTTTCTTTATATTTGCTTTATTTCATTTTAATGGTTTCTAAACATTTTGAAAGATTAAAAATATGTATTTTTATTGTTCAGAATATACACAGCAGAACATACTCCAACAGTTTCTACATGTGTAATCCAGTGACATTGATTACATTCTTCAAGTTGTACAATCATTCTCACACTGCCCCCTAAGTTTCCATTTAATCTTTTGAGTTGCAGTTGTCAATTTGATTCCATATAGATGGATCTTAAAAAGTAAATGTTCAAGTCATTTTCAATGTTCAAAGACATTCTTTACTAGTTAAGCTAAACTATAGTTTGGTTTTAAGAAGACTTCAGGGGATATTTTTTGTTTAAGATTTAAAGATTAACTATCTCAGGGCTATAGTTTCAGGGGTTAATCCAGCCTCCAGGGCTCCAAAATGCCTAGAGTCCATGAGAATTTGAAATTCTATTCTGCATCCACCCTGACTCCAATCCCTTTAACCAGGATTCTTCTATAGAATCTTTGATCAAAATGTTCAGTAATGGTAGCTAGTCTCCATCCAGTTCTTCTGGTCTCAGGGAAAAGGAGGCATTTGTTCAGGGAGGCAATTAGCCACACATTCAATTTCCTCCTCCTATTCCTTCACCTTCTTCCTCTGTTGTTCCAGGCAATAGAAAACAATTGTTGTATCATGGATGGCTGCTTATAAGCTTTTAAGACTCCAGGCACTACATTCTTCAAGTTCAACAAACTAGGAGGTAGAATAGAAGGACTAAATACGGTATTAGGCCAATTAACTGGGATGTCTCATGAAACCATGACCCTAAACCTCCAATCCAAGGAACCAAATGCCATGAGGTATCTGGTTGTACATAAGCAGCTACTTTGTTGTTGTTGTTGTCATAAAAATGTGTATTACACAATTCTGGTTCACTTAACTTTTCACAGGTGTACAACTTATTGACATTACATTACATCAATCAGCTGTGCAACCCTACCTTTAATCAATGTGATTTTTCCATCACTGTAAACCAAAACTCAGTGCTCCATGAGCAATAACCTCCTCTTTTCCCCTCCCTCCTGTTCCTGGTAAACATTAATAAACTTTGGTCTCTATACACGTTCCTGTTGTTTTTTTCTTTTTTTTAGTATAAGTGAGGTCAGATAATATTTGCCCTTTTAGGATTGTCTTATTTCACTCAGCATAATGACTTTCAAGCTCCATGAAATATTTATCAAGACTTCATATCTCTTACTGGCTGAGTAGTAGTTCATTGTATACCACATTTTGTGTATTCATTCATCTGTTGATGCACACTTAGGCTGTTTCTACCTTTTGGCTATTGTGAATAGTGCTGTAACACTG